AGTAATTTTAATCAATTTGGAAACACAAATTTTACATTACTCAAAAATTTAAAATTTTCTATATCTTAAGACATTAAAAACAATCACATTTTATAAATTAAAAAGTAAGATTAAAAAGTATAGATTAAAAAGTAAAAACAATATCTATTAGAGCTGGTTATCCTTGAATTCGTCAATGCTAACTTGATTGTATAAAGATAAATATAAATATAAATATAAATATAAATATAAATATAAATATAAATATAAATATAAATATAAATATAAATAGTAATAAATTAAAATAGATAAATATAAATAAAAATAAATAACAATAAATAAAAACAAATATAAATAAATAAAAATAAATTAAAATAAATAAAAGTAAATAAAAAAATAAAAGAAAATAAAAATAAATATGAATAAAAATATATATAAATAAAAATAAATATAAATAAATAAAAATAAATATAAATATAATTATAAATAAAAATAAATATAAATAATAATAAATATAAATAAAAATAAATATAAATAAAAATAAATAAATATAAATATAAATAAAAATAAATATAAATAAAAATAAATAAATATAATAAATATAAATATAAATATAAATATAAATATAAATATAAATATAAATATAAATATAAATATAAATATAAATATAAACATAAATACTAATTTTTTTTAATATATTTAACACTTTTATTTTGTCGGCACAAGAAACTATACCTAAAGTTTACTAATATAGACACGTCATCAATACAAATATATTATTATATTATATATTTTATATGCATAGGGTTAAAAAAATCCATTTAATTTATATGCCATCCATTTCGTGGTATTGTTGTACCTAATATGATATGATATCACTGATTTTTCAGTAATATATTATATGCCAAACAAAACTATTACAAAAGGCAATATATGTTTAGTTATAGATTATTCATTATACAATATGGATTATTAAACAATAGTTTAATGTGAAACAATCAGACGTCATATTTTATTAAGATGGATATAACAACAAACAATGTTGTCATATTTGTAATAACAAAAATATCCAAGTAATTATCAAAAGTCCATATCCATATCATATCTGTGATAACAAAAATCTACAAATGTATATCAAAAGACCATTACCATTACGTCTATTAATAGTCAATGTATGATCTGGCATTTAATCTGGAGCTGTGATAGTCTCGTACTTTCTTAAAAATTTTTTAATGTGTCGCAAACCGAAAAATCTGATCACCACAGCTATAAAATTACCAATTTTAGTTGATATGCTTACTGAAATCTTTATCAAAAATCAATTTTTAATAACATTAACTTTTGAAACTAAATAATTTTGTACTTGAATTGTAAATGCAGGAAATAATACTCGAACCAAAACATAAAATATGTTATGGAGAGAAAAAATTGCCTGATGAAAAGTAAATGCCCTTTAATTTGATACCTAAAATAATTTTGTGCTTCAAAGAGTCGAAATTTATGGTGGTTTAAATAGCTCACTAATTTTCCCAGATTTTTAAATAAACTTTATATATTAATATTTTACCTTCAAAATACTGATGCCACCATAGATCTCAGAAACACGTCAGTCAGTATCATAGAAGGCGCTTCCAATACATTTGTATAATTTTGATATAGAGTATAGAGATATATAGATATATAGAGATACTCTTAAAATATATTTTTCTGCAAAGGTTTTCCAATTTTTATAAGGTTTACAATTTCTAAACAAATTATTTCTTCAAATTTCAATAAAACAACATGGATTTATATGTGTCCAAAACTGGTGCAAAAGGTGGATGTACCACTTTTTAACCTTATACGTGCCTTATAATGTAATTTGATGTTGGTGTGTTATAATGCTAAAACAAAATCTTTGTTTTCACAAATCCTATACGTTTACGATTTAAGCGGCTTTAATTTTACTAAAAGTGTCACATAATACTGTTTTATTATAGCTTTGTATTCAGATTGATTTGTCGACAGTACCAATTTTTTCACTATATTTTCTATTCCAACTATTTATTTCCTATTCTTCATATTAAAAATTTATAATTGCCCCAATATATAGGTAAAATATTTAAACTATTTTTTGCAATAACAGGATTACCTATTTTTTACAATAATAGGGTTACAATAATAGGATAATTGCGCTCTTGATAGATGTTAAATATTGTAGAGTTCACAAAAGACTAATTACTTACCGTTGTCTGTGACTAGAGTTTGTGGGAGTTCTTCTACAGCGAAAATAATTTCCATAGTTGACTGCATTCTTACTACAAAATGAAATTTAGATATAGCATCTAATATAACATGTAATATATGACTGGGCTAGGCTACGTTTTCAATGGCTTTATCAATTTGTGAAACCTTACATAACGTCATACGTACTTTCATAAGTGCGTTTTTTCAATGGACCTCATGTAGTATTTTGAATATTTATGGTAACAATAAGAATGGAATTTTCATTTGGATATAACATATTAAACTTGTAAGAGGTGTACACCTTCTTGATGCGTTAATTGAAAACGACGATCAAAATAGGGTTTCAAGTTCTATTTCGGAGCGTCGTTTAAGATTCTTGGGGTGCTGCCCATACTAAATGGTGACGGTATTAATATAACCCGAAAGAAGTATTTATAACTAGGAATTTTTTATATTCTACCGCATGTTGAACTTGAAGATAAGCTTCGCTTAAATCAAATTTGTATCATTTTAGTAGGAGAGTAAAGTAGTTGTTTGAGGGTGCGGTAAACTTGAATTTTATAAGCGAGGTATTCCCGTATTTAATTGAAAAGTCAATCGCAAACTATTCACCAGTACCTCCACCAAAATATTTTTGAAATCGTTCGCTATGAGGCGAATATTATTGAAAACCCCGATTTCCTAATAATTTTGTTACGTTGTTTGTTTTCTACTCCACTGTGAGTTGATCGTAACTCTTGCCGACAACTTTTTTTATAGATAAATACTCTTCTAAAATACGATTTTATTCATTTGATTTCTTTAGCACATCAGCAAACTCACACATGTTTGTGAGTGAGTCAAGAATTTTATTCACCAAACGTTCAGGATAACATTATTTGGTAATCCTTAACATTTAACATCTTTGGTGTTTACACTACCACTACAAAACTGAGCATTCCATAGTCAAACAGTTTTTCGTTTTGGTTGAGAAAGCTCAGCTGCATAACTAACATGCGAAATTTCCCTTTCTATAAATATAATATCTTAGTAGACTACAAAAAATAAATAAATAATTTTAATTTAATTACATAAATAGAAATTATTATATATAAATAATGCACTAAATTAAAATATTAATTTTAATTTCAAAAAATATTGTAAGCAAAATGACTATTAAGCATTTTTGCAGAAAAACTGCAATTACTGCTATAATTATTGTTAATCGTTGGTTAACTAATCGGAGTGAAAAAATGGTGAATGTATACATTAGATAAACATTGCATTTTTCGATAACTTGTTTTTATAGAAAAATTATTTCTTCATCACCTCGTTTCTTCAACATATCAAATATAATAGGAGTTCTGCTTTATTGTAAATAATTCACTTGGAAGTATAGATTCTGTTTCTGTTTGGTGTTCATATTGAATGAACTGAAAGACCCTATAAACCCTATAAATTCGTCGTAGCATTATGTTTGAAGTTTTCTTAGGAATAGAAATTTTTGATGTTGCAGTCAAACCTTAAGGTTACAAATTGCGATTGCCTATTGTGGGACTTATACCATAATTAGCTATAAACTGTAGCATTCTGTAAACTGAATCTTTGACTAAGAAAAACTTGTATTCCAGCAGAAAATCAGTTTTTTTAATTTATAATATCTAACCTAATGTCTAACCTAATGTCTATTTGTGTCTATTTGTCTATTTGGGGTAGAATGCTAAAATGTAAATATAACATATATTCATAAGGTTTTATTAGACTTTATAAAAAAACTTTTTTATACATGAGATATATTTTGTTATTTCTAAAACATTTGTTTGGTATATTATTGCTAGACAGGATTCAGAACTTAGTTAAATATTTTCTAGTTTTTAAACTTTAGGTTAGGTTAGGTTTACAAGGCGCGTGCTGGGAAAGGCGAGTTGCTAACCTTTTTTACCCTTGTTTTCCAGATTGGTTTTCCAGATTAAGGTGAGGAGATCCGATAAGTTAGCTCTCGTTATCTCTTCCAAGCCAGTGAAAAAACGATCTCCAAGACATTGAAGTCACCTCGTCTGCAGTCCTGAACAGAGATACAGGAAGTGGTTGATAGATTTTACCTTAGGCGCAATGGCATACTGTACTCCAGTAAACACACGAACTGCAGGTTTGCTGAAGCCAAAATTGCTTTTCGTTTTATTTTTGTCCGACCTAGGTCACGAGGGTCTAGCGACCTCACGGTCTTCGCTGTTAGCCCATAAATTGTTAGTCACAGTATTTGTGATTTCCTCTATTATCCTAAACAGTTCACATATCGGTGTTTGTATAGAGAGATCGGCATCTCCTATATGCAGTTCAGAACCTCTTCTGGGCATCTCATCTCCTAGTTCATTCCCTTCAATATTGATCTTGTGTTGTTGGATGCTCATATTATTTTAATAATAATATTATTTTAAGAATGCAATGTGAAATTCTTAGGGTACGAATGCTTTAGGTACTTGTAAAATTAATAATAGATTGGTAAGGCAATTGATTAGTAAGACAATTAAATATATGAATTTATATTAAAACCTAAAATTATAATATATTTTTATTTTTGTATATTGAAAGAATAAGGCATTCTTTTGTAATGAACAAAAGAAGAAAAAAACAAATCTTATTCAAAATAAAAAATTTATAAAATTCGAAAGCAAAAAAAGTATAAATATAGATTCAGAACAACACAAAAAAAAAAATACATAAATGAAACAAAAATATCTTATGGCTATTATTTTTTTACTTACCTATATGTATTTTAAAATAATAATAATAAAATCAAAATTTTTTGGTTACAGGTGAAAACTTGACTACTACCGTATTGGCGCCTAAATAGATATCTACTTAATTAACGACTGCACACAGAATAAGTGGGATTTTTGCTCTGCACAGTTGAAGTTGATAAAATAAGCTTAGCTTCAAATGCAGTGAACATAGGAAATTAATGAATTGAGCAAGCAGTCTGAATTGAAAGGTCAATAAACCTGATGATTACAAATATTTATCGTGTGCTTCCTAAATCACCATCCATTGAACAAACACAGGAAAGTGCAAGTAAATGTGAGATATCTGCAGCAGGTATTGAATAAAATGAATTGGCGCAAATACTCGTAAACATCGTTAGTATTACCAACTGAAATTCAAGTTCGACAAACTAAGGCGTGCATACACTTGGAGAAAAAGATTTTAGTTTAAAGTCAAGTTATTCATGTTCAAGATTGCGCCAAGCCTAACATAAGCATAAAGAGGACTCTCGTACACTCAGACTCCCGTCTTCACTGCATATATTGACACTTCATACGAAGGGATGTTTATGAACTTTCTGGTTGCGATCATAAATTAAAAAACTCTAAATCAACTCGAAAATTTGTGATCACACATTGTAGTGTTGTTATATTGTGGTGTTTACACTCAGCCAGATGTAAAATGTTAGCGACTGTAAAATGTAGTCTTTATACAATTGTAGTTGGTATATTATCTATTAGAATAAGTGCTTACGAGACTTCAGTGCCTGTAATGCATGCTACAAAAATACTTACGGACTTACCACATACAAATATTTTCAATAAACCGCCTTCAACTATATCTCATGATACAATCAGTAATACTCACATTCAATCACAATGGTTAAGTTCAACAACAAAAACTTCAGAAAGTCTTGATAATGCACAGAAACCATACAGTCCGCTTGAAAGCAGTAAAGTTATGGATGCACACAATGATTACCACAACATTCAGGATACTTCCACAAATAATTATTCAGCTATCTTTTCGGAAGCTATACCAGCAGTAGAATTACCTCCTAACGCACTCATAACTATTCCAAAGCAAGTAGTTCCCGTTTGGACGGAGAATATAACACGCGTAGGAAGAAAACGAAATTATAAGTATATACCTTTAAGTGCAGATGTGAGTAACAACGTAATCTTAACTGGATTGAAATACAAACGCAATAACTCCTTAAATTTTCAATCCGCAATTGAATCTAATGAAAATCTTAATTCGGAATTAACTGAGCGCAGTGACAAAATCATAACATCGGATAGGATAGATTTTTCAGGAGATAACTTAAGTAAACGAATAGACTTTCACTCTCCTAGTTACAGCCTGAAAAGTGCGAGTTCGTTTCAGCCGGAATCATATCGTGAAGATAATCCTATTTTAAGTGAAATACCGATATATGAAAATCCATATAACGATGATTTTTCTTCTATGCCCTCTAATAAAGAAACTAGAAACACACGTCAACTTATATTCGAAACTGACCCCAGTCATATTTCACATAATATTGAATTTCCTGGTAAAAGTGTAAATACTAAACCACATACTTTAAATAGTGCAAATGGTGGAGCTAAAATTTTTTATGAAGACGTGACAAAATTTGGTGATGTTAATGGTCCCATAACTGCATTGCCTCAGCATTCGAAACGAATAAATTTTTTTGGTGAAGCTGAAATATTGGGTGGTCCTCCCCGACAATTTGTCCCTACAAAAGCATTGAATGAGTTTGTAGGCTTAAACAATTTTCAAAACGTACGCAAAAGTCGATACTTTCCATTCAAGTCATCCCGTAGTCCACGCGTAATATTCCCGACAAATGATAATGCCAGCCCTACCGGCTCTGGATCTGCCTCTGGACCAGGTACAGGAATAGGTGTTTATTTCAACGACAATGTCGCATTTAGGTATGTGCTCTTAATAAACTTTTTTTATGATAATGACTCTGCTCTTACAGAGACCAAAACTTTGGCTTGAATGAATTAGCTGCTATACAAGATGTGCGAAACGAATTTAATTTAAAGGATTTGGATTCAGCTACTGAAACTAGCACACCCCATTCCGCAAATACATTCAAAGAAAAAGGTGAGATGTAAATAATTTTTAAATCACTTATTTAATCGACTTGGATGAAGAGTTTTGTATAGAAAAAATTGTGGCTTAGATACACCACAATTTAGTATTACTCTATATTATAGCACTCGTATGGTATTGACTCAGAAAATTCCACGGCAAGCGAAATAGAATTCTTTCTTTGAGAATATGTGGTAAATATAGTTAATATATTAGTGTGGGGGATCACACCCCCATTTCAAATTTTATCCATCAACAATTGATTTGTAATGAAATAATCTCATATTACCATCACTTCAACATTTTATACATTTTCTATGTATGTTATATATATCAAAAATGTTATTAATAAAATACATCCCGAAATTATTTTAAACCAGTTATATAGTAATAGGTACAACATTTTGTGATTTAATTTAATTGAAAATAAGGTTTTGAAATAGTGATTTGCAATAGACTCTAATTTGATTATATTTTATATGAAGTTATTTTAATCAAGTCAGGAAAATATAAATTTTGTGAATATCCATGTTATATCTTATATCATTTCGATTGTTACGACAAGCTGTAATCAAAACAACTCTAAATGGATAACTGCAGAATTGGTTTCTTGAAAATTACTTATATACTATAAGTATATATATTGTTTGTGTTAGTGTAAGTGACTTCCTATCATAAGGGAAAAGATGTATCAAACTAATTTATTATTTTAAGTGAAATTAAATTATAATAAAATATAATTAACATAAGCGATATAACGTAAGATAGACTCTAAATTTATTTAGAAAATTAGTTTATAAATAATAAACATCGTTGGCTTATGCAAATAAACACAATTATTTTAAATACAATAATTGTATTTCTTCATCATATATAACCCAGTCGACATAACTACAGAACTACAATGCCAACATCGTGGTGGAACTTGTGAATTTTTTTTGACCTGTTGGATGAGTGGAGGCCTTTTACAAGGCACTTGCGATGGATTACTACGTGGATGTTGTCATCGAACAGCAAAGTCAATAAATTTGCTTACTTCGGATTATGTAGGTGATACGATCGACTTAACTGATCTTCCATTAAAAAACTATGGACCAATTAAAAATGATGCTAGTGAGTGTATAACCTTGTCATAATTCAATTGCACGAACAAGTAGTGGTCAATTTTTTTTTTTTTGGTTTGCATCAAATTGTTAGTTCTTATTAATGGTCAAGGGTCTACATATTTGAAAATATAAATGGGTTCAGTTTGAGACTATATATTTATTTTTTTTATATTCTCTGTATTTTATGAGTGTTAATAAAAATATTATTTGAAATGATCTAATTATACCATAGGTAAATGATCTTCATGTATATATTTTTGTTGTAAAGAAAATATGGGAGACACAAAATATAGATATTAGTTTTCTTGAACATATGTAAATAATATTTGCTTACAATTACGAAATAAACCATTTTTTCGTTACATCTATTTTAGCATGAATTATATATTGGATGTAGGTAAATCAAGTTTCGACTATTAGTATTATTATTATGAAAACAGGATACAGCACTGCGACCTAAATGATCTATTGTGCTCCTTAGTAGGATTAGAGTGTTTCTAGATTTTAGTGTTTCTAGGATTTAGAGTGTATATGGCTTATCTTTTCTAGTCTTAATTCCCTATGTTCCATAAAACACCCTTCTACGTATTTTTTCCGCTTGTGCATCAGTGCCGGGCATTGCCCTAGTACATGGTTTTTGGTTTCTCTCTCTTCTCTACAGTATCTGCAGTCTGAGTTGAAATCGTTTCCTAACTTTGTTAGGTGATTATTCAATCTACAGTAATTGGTTAGTAGTTCCGTAATAATTCTTAGGCTGTTATTTGTTTATTCTATGCAATCCTTGAAGCGTTTTAGGCATTAAGTCTCTAAAAGCATTTTAGATTGTGATAGTCATGGAAGTCTTTCCTAATAATGAATATATAGAGTTCCTTTGCCTGGACCGCAGAAAAGTTCTGGCATTATCATAATAGAAGCCACGCCTCCTCTGGGAAGTTTATCTGCCATTTCATTGCCTTGGATGCCAGTATGTCCCGAAATCCATAATAAGTGCACCTGATTGTTGTAGCCAAGTATGTTAAACTTGTCAATGCACTCCCATACCAGTTTCGATGTCACTTGGTCACCTGTCACCTGGCTGCCTGGTTGTTAGT